GCATATATATATATATATATATTTATATATATATATATATATATATATATATATATATATGTATATATGCATACCTGTGTGAAAAACGATCTTTGCTGCCATGCCAATCATAGATATTCAAGATAGAGTTCGCGCGTAACGCTCGCGGAGAGAGAGACACTTTTTGATACGACTAGTTGATTAGTGACGCGCGATCTCCCGTTGCGCGTTGCTCCCCCAGAATAGATCATACCGTTAGCTGTTAGTATAGTGCGCGAAAACAAGTACGACTGTACACAACACTTTTGTCAATACTTCCAGGTATCGTAAAATAAATCAGTAAGTGTATATCTTTTCTCGATGTCAGAAATGTCGGGCACGCCGCGTCGCTATTCTTTCGTTCTCTCTCTTTCTCTCTCTCTCTCTCTCTATCTATCTCTCTCTCGCTTGCTCGCAGGGACATTCGCGGCGCGTCCCAGCGTGCGCGAATATTTTTCCATACGTCGAGGCGACGTCGCCACGTAAAAATGGAAAATGAACGAACGACAAAAAAGAAAGAAAACGGAAAGATGAAAGAAACGAGCTCGAGGTGCTACCAGAACCCGAATATCGACAGTCTGACGCCAAACGTCCGACAGACGTGTGCGAAGTGCGGCTTATTCCCGGCGCGTTGATCTTTTTGACAAAATATAAATGTTACCGGTGTCTCACCGGATCTTGTATTCGTCTTATATGTGCACTTTCTCTTGAGCCTAATCTACAATGTGCCCTTTGCATTCTGCTTCTTGTCTGTCTTTTTCTGACTTAAAGCTTAAGGTTTGAGTCAGAAAGAGATAAAGAGAAAGAAGCAAGAACACATTGTAGATCAAGCTTTAGTGATTGTCGCCGGATTTCTCAACAATATTATATCTTTCTCTAATTCGTATCTTTTTCTTCTCTTTGGTTACACTACCAAAACGGTATGAGATCTTCAGGGGATGTCCTGGGCACGTTCTCAGAACATCTTTAGGATGTCCTGTAAAGATCTGTGATGTTTGGATAAAGAATCAATCGCACAATCTGACGCCTAATCGCGCGATCTAAGTCAGCAAGTTTCATGAAAATTTCCAATTACTCGTGGAGAGAACAGGCGTACAGACGTGTGTCATTCCAAATTTTCCGGAATACTCTCCCTTCGCAAGTAGGCTGGATTGTATAGGATTTTTGAGGAGTCTGGCGCCGAGGGGATTCACACGTCTGAGACTGGAACGTAATATACGAGACGCTCTGCCTTGATTACAAAAAGATCATTTATTGCCGTTTACATGCGCCGCGCTGTCGTCACGTCTTGAGCAATTTGAACTTTTTGAAGTACGGCTGCACCTCGTCCTTAGGGTAAGGCTTCGTCACCAGGCACGTCGCGATGTTCTCGGGCTGCTCTATCCACAGCTTGTGCTGAATGTCGTTCTCCCTCAATTTCGTATGTAGCGTTTGCAGACTGGCTTCGTCGGCAGCCTATCATTCACATCCGTGACACTCGCTGTTACATACGCTTCGTCATTGTTACAAAGAAAATTGTTAATCCCGTCAAACGACAATTCGCATCTCTGCCACGCGTGTATCAAAGTCTAAACTTCGTAGCGATCTAAGCGACCGAATTGAAAGGCGACGGAGAAACAAGCGATGATCGAAAGTGTTTCTCTTCGCACATGTTACCGCTGATAACGCGTCGACCATATCTAATGACTAATGTACGGAAAGAAAATTTCAGTTCGGGTAACTGAACGGGGATCAAACGAAAAACTCGCCAATGAGAAATAAAATCTCTATGAATGAAAATATCTCTCTGAACATTCAGTTGCATTAACTCTTTTTATTCTTAACCAATTTTGTTCTTTAAAGGTAAAACTTTACTTTCACTTCATTAAATATATTAATATATAATGTAGTAATTAATATGTAATGTTTTAACAAAAAAATTGAAAGTTTTACGTTTGACGCCAAAGGAATAGATCCGGGACACCGATGTCTCATTGGATTTTTGGGAGGCTATACTAAACGGTAAAAAGTAAAGTGATAGCTGATGTGTGTTCTAAATTGTAAAAAAAAAAAAAACTGTTTATTCAGTTATAGCTGTTTATTCAATAATAAAGTTATTACCAAGTAAATACAAAGTATCATTCATATTACAATGTTAGTTCAATTATATGGTATATTATGTAACTGTTATTTTGTTATATAACAAAATAACAATTACGTAATATACCATATGATTGAGCTGACATTGTAATGTCGATGATACTTTGTATTTACTGGGTATTAATAGCGGAGAACATATGTCCCGCGCCTTTAGCAGCGCAAAAAGATTAAAATTTGACTGAAATAACAGAGCAGTTGATTAAGTAGAAATCTTCCTGTTTTTACAACCGAGTTTTTCATCTGGTCACCAAGTAATAGAAGATTCAGTTACACTAACGGAATTGTGTTTTTTCCGTGTGCGAGCGAATTAACACGTTTGCTACCAGCGTCACATATATGTGACATAACGATCTCTCACAAGAAGCTTTGTATTATATTTAAATAAGTTGATGATAACATTAAGAAACTAGCACAAATAAATAGAAAACGTATTTTTCATTAAGTTTAACTAATTTAATTTTCAAAAATATTTTTTTATTTATTTGTGCTAGTTTTATTTTTATGGCTTATTCAAATAGAAAGGCTTATTAATAGAAACAGGCACACAGCAATATGTACCCAACATATGCTATGTTGAAAGTCTAAATATTCGTATTTAAAGACCAAAACCAATGCCCAGAGTTAGACTCTAATGTCCAGGCATTGGTACGTTTTACCTTATGTAAAAAAGAAGATACAAGGCGACTCGTGAGTGGAATCCTGCGGACAAGATCCCGACAGCGAACGTGTTAACGGCCAAGGCTTTGTGGGCGCGCGTGAGCGCCGCGAGTCGTGTCATACTTACTTCGAGCACCACCTTGTGCATATTGTCTAAATCGGCGAGATAAGCCTGCGTGTGGGTGTCATTGTAAAAGAGATGAGTAACGGCGGTGCACGCGTGACACGCTTGTGCGACCACCGCGCCCAACGGCCAGCCCATTGTCTTCAAAAGATCTGCCCGCACCACCACGTACTGAACTATCCCGGTCATTCTGGCGAGAAAGATCGCTTTCCTAGACTCGCTTAGAACGTTTTCCATCTCCTCTCCTTTCCCTACATAACTCGAGGAGATAGAGAAAGAGAGAGACAGAGAAAGAGAGGACAAGAAGAGAGGAGGGACCGGGATCTCTCGTGTCGTTTCGATCGACGGTTAATGTTTAAGATGGCCCTGGTTTCGATTAATTAGTAAGTGCCAAAAGGTATATTATTCGTACGGATTAGGGTGTAAAACGCAGATACTCTTCCGAGCTATTTATATAAATATAAATATATAAATATATAAATATATATATATATATATATATATTAAAATTGTATTCGTGCCCGGCTCAATGACGTCCGCAGATCGCGCCGCAAAAACGCGTTCGCTATAGCGTCGTTCCTTTGATGTTGCGGCATACGCAAGATGTATTATTTATACAAATTGTTGTTATTAAAGACAAATAACGCAGAAATAATTAGCACGTATGACACATCATGGTTCACGAGACGACGTTTATTCATTCCCGACCCGACTCGCGTCCACCGACGTGTTCGCGAGAAAATCTCTCCCGTTTAAATAGTTTGCAGTAGAGAGAGGAAGTGGCTACAAGCAAGTTTTTTAATTCATTGATGGATCCATCAATGTATTAAAAAACTCAATCTACATATCGTGGCGAATCGAAACGTGCCGGCTGATACAACGAGAGCACGACGAAAGGTTAGGATCATTTTGTAACATCCATCAGGAAATGCGTATTATGCAAATTTTCGCGGAAGTTTCCGATTCACTAATGACGATACAACGATCTCTGATCAAATAACTCTCAGTTGCATGAAAGGCTTACCCTGTTAGTGATCACTTTTCGAATAATACCTACGGAGAACGAGTGCTGCGGAAAGGTTAACTGCCGTCTCTACAAGTACATTAACGTATGATTATTCCCTTATTACAAGTCGTGCCAGAATGGCAAAATATATGTCAAAGTATGTTAGAATCTAATATATTTACCTATTTAAGTCTGAAGATGCGAATTATAAAGTCTTGAATTACTCGCATGCATCTGTCTCGACGCTGTCATCTGTGCGATACACAAACAATAAGGTAGGCAACTCATCGCTATGAAATTTCGTTGCGTCCTAGGGACTTCTAGAGGGCTCCTAGGGGAGTCAGTGTTAAGACCTATTTACACTAGGCAAAGTGAGGACAAAATAATGATTCCTGATTGGTCTGCATCTTATTTGCCATTTTTAGGCATCTAAAGACCAAATCACACTAACGATTGGCGATAGATGATTGACGATTGAAGATTGGAACTTGACCAATTGGAACAAAGCAAGCCAAGGCTAAAGCTTGTTGATTCGTTAAAATCTAATATTTAGTTGTCAATCGTCAATCGCCAATCGCTAGTGTGATTTGGTCTTTAAGGCCAAATCAAACGCCTTAAAACTTATTTTATAGATTTTAACATTTTCAGTCAATATTTCCAATACAAAACACATTTAATTAAATATTTATGTACATAATAATAAAAACGAGTAATAAAACATTAATTTAAAAGTTATTTTAGTTACGTGCTACTCACTCCGCTTACGCTCATTCCGCTCCATGGGTACTTAAGAATTAAAAATCCGTGCAACGAAAACTGCGGAACGCTCGTGATTGGTTCCGCTTCCGTTCCGCGCTCCGCTATTCCGCTGCATGGATTCGCATCAGACGTAGGAATATCTGGACGAAGCATAAAGTATTTTTATGGGCGCGGGATGTGAAGTCAGCGCGGTGAAGAGAAATCTTCGTCGCGGTCATCTTTAGTCAAAAGTGACATATATATGACATATATGTATATGTAGATCGAGGATTTTAACCTTTGTAGTGAAAGGTCCTTATGGATAGGACTATATATTTCGTAATAGATGTCGGATTGTTACGCGAAACATTGTAAAAGCCGGAGAATCGAGAAGCCAGAAAAATAAAATACAACTAAAAATGGTAAAAGACTATCATTTCAAGTATGTTTTAATATAACAGACAGTTGCAATCAGGGTAAAACTTTATATTCACACACACTCATACACACGTATTCATTTTGTACATTTTTTAATACACTATACTAAGATAAACAATAGCTGCGTTCGGCATTGTAAATCGAAGACGTCGGGTTGCTTTCATCTCGAAGATGTATAGAAATGAAAAAGATACGAGATCTCGTATCTCTCTCACTTTTGTGCATTTTCGAGGTAAAAGAGCAATCCGACGTCTTCGATTTATAATGTCGAACGCAGCTATTGTGCTCCGTGATATAGGCGCCATATTTGGTCATCACTTCCGAATTTCATTCCTCTCATCCCTGTGAGTTCACTCCCCGCGAAATACGCTTCGCCAAGATATTCCTACGTCCATGGTTCGCACCCTTATAGACCGTCACACACAAAATTCCGTAAAGGTGCCAATACATGAGAGCGTTCCAGCGTCGAGAGTTAAAACGTTAGCCAATCAACGTATCAGGTCCCAGAATTATACTTGTAGTTTTTGCGAAAGGTGGCATATTGATTGGCTACCGCTTTAACGCTCGACGCTCGATGCTCCCATGTAAAGATACCTTAAGAACTTAAAACGTAAGCGTAAAGAAATCAACCAATCCCAATCAAGCACTCGGCTTTTCGTAATCCCTTTATTATTACAAAGAGTCGAATATTCGATTGGAATTGGTCGATTTTCTTACGCTTAAGTTACGATTTAAGTTCTTAGGATGCCATTACATGAAGCGCGGAAACGTGGAAACGCAGAAGACAAAATCTTACTAGATCCGCTACGCGTTCCACGTCTGTTTTGAGGGTGTATATCAGTTGGACACGGGGCAATTGGACACAATCCAATCACAAGTCGCTGTTCCAAGGGACCCTACAAATGTCTTTAATCACACGGTGCTGTGATTGGCTGTGTCCAAATGCACCGTGTCCAAGTGCACCGCTTCCCTGTTTTGATTGCCTTATATTACATGAGGCATATTTTGAGCGGAAAAACGGTATGGGGAATTATGAAATACTAATTTTTAACAGTATTTATTAATTAAAATGCTTGTATTCAATAAATAAGCTGAAAAGATAAACATATTAGTAAAAATTGCAATAAATTGAATACGATTTTAAAAAATGAATACAGATGTTTATTTGTCACCAAACCGTTCCGCTTTTCCGCGTAAATTGTGCTCCATGTAATATAAGGAGAAATAAAGTCGCGGAACAAGCGCATCAAAATCTATTGTCACAAATTGTCACAAGTTATCACAAGTTGTTCGACCTAACCGACGTTACATTAAGACGTGTTCAAACACGTTCAGACCTGATATTTTTTTGGAATTCATACCTTGGGTGAAAAGACAATAGAGAAAAGTTTTGGGCCTTCCGCTTTTCCGCTTTTTAAACGTACGGGAAGAAATGATTCAATTCGCGAAATTCAATTTTTCTATGTGCCACCAGCTTTATAGGAAACATTGATTAGCTATCGCGTCCTATGTGCAGGAGCATTACATAATGCTTGCGACGACGCGTGTCCGTTTCAGAACACATCCGTCCCGAAGAAGCGCACACGACGGTGTGTGAATAACTGCTCACAGTTCCACAAGCAGCGGCTAGATATCGCCGCGTTCGCACGCCGCCATATTTGATGTATTGTTCCCTCCTAAGCATTGTGCGTGTATATACATATATATAACGGTCGATACCAAAAGGGAAGCCGCGGTACCGGTAGGCCGGCTAGTTCTCGTTCCCTTCTCGCCGTTGTAGTATCAGCTGCGCTCGGCACGCCGTGATCTCCTACGAGGAAGCTGCTAATTAAAGGTAATTCGCGCTACGCCTCTCCTGAATCGCGACTCGCCAAACGAACTTTCGAAGATCCCGAATCCTACCGTTATCGCGTCACGCTTTTATTACGTGCGAACAAAAGACATGCCGAAATGGTCGCCCGGGTGTCGCGTTTTCCTCCTGCGTCAACGATCGGAATCCGCCGAGCGAGCGTTAGTCGACGCCCCGACGGCAATGTTGCGCGCGATGACAGGCATGCGGAAATCCTAAGCGTGTAAATCGTTTAATCACACAATTGCAAAATCCCGCCATAATAGCGGGGCTTCCCGACGCCCGATGAAAGTCAACCGTGCGACAGCTATTCGAGCACGCCCTCGTCGCGAGCCGGTGAGTCTGCTATGGCCACACGACGTACTACCTTGAGTCGTGCCAATTGGCCACGATTGTGCAAGAACGATCCAACCCGCAAAGTTACGATCTTTGAGCCTTATTACGCCTGACTCCTGATTCTTAAAAATATCGCATATTTGAATGAAGAGCTATAGTATACGTTACACGAATTATAACTTTTCAGAGAAATATCGCGTACGATATTTCGATGAAAAGTTATAGTATACGTGGAATGAACTATAGTTTTTCAGAAAAATGTACACGATATTTCTCAAGAACAAGACTCCTTTTCTCTTTCTCGAAGAATTTTCTGAATTATCCTGAAATATATTGTTTCATTCTAACTTGTCGCACATTGATGCAATAAATTAAACAACATACTTAACTTTCTAACTTATTGTATCAGTTCAGGAAATTCCTCGAAAAAGAACAAGTCTATTGCCAATAGGCAGTCCATACGTTTTTCTACGTAAAACAAATAATATTCAAGCCTTATTGGCGTCTAAAATTAATCGGAAAATTTTTGTTTTCCACTAGTTGCACTATTTTTTACTATTTATTACGTCTTACCTATTTTTTTAAAGATTAAGCTTGAATACTCGTAAAGAGAAGAAAATTGACATTATGCTTGACTTTTGAGATGATTTGCTAAAAATCTCAGTGCTACCTATATTTTTTAAATTGTGTATCAAATTCGTAAATTCCAATTAATTTCAATCTTTTGTCTTACTAAATTAATGAATCATCATATATTAAAATTATAGATTCTGAAAAGATTAGCATAGCTTTTAATTTGGGTTTATAGATGCAATAGAATATATAAATAAATTTCAGCGATAAGTTGCTGAAGTACATATTTTGCGTAAAAGCTTTGTTAATTTTTTTAGAATCTATAATTTTAATATATAATAGACTCGTTCATTTAATAAGGCGAAAGATTTCAGCATATTTATAAATAAAAATATTTTTAAATACTTATGTAAAAAATTATATTTACATGACATTTTTATCTACTGAACTTTTTTTGTACAAGAACGATCCAACCCGCAAAGTTACGATCTGAGTTCTTATTAAACCTGACTTCTGATTCTTGAAAAATATCGCATATTTGAATGAAGAGCTATAGTATACGTTACACGAATTATAACTTTTCATATCGCGTACGATGTTTCGATGAAAAGCTATAGTATACGTGAAATGAACTTTTTGCTGAACTTTTTCTTTTAATAACCTTGTATTAAACAAAATCCGACGGCTGAAACTTTTTGTATGTTATTCAATATTTTTTTTTAAATAATATTTATCAAAATTCGTTGATGAAAGGTTCGTTAATCGTGCGCGATATATTTATACCATCAAATTTTCATCTTTATTTTTCTCGAAACATACTTCATGTAGATTGAGTCATTCTTGCGTAACTACGGCCAGCTGAACCTGAGTAATCGCGCCGCGGTTACGTTTTCGCTGTAGCAATAACGGCGAACATTACGCGAGACCGCTATTTCTTCCTGAGTGACGTTCGCAAAATTTGGCACGCATCTAGAAAAACTTATCATAAATATACGTCGTGTCATCGTACTTACTATTGACTCGATAGAATAAAATGAAGTTACTCACATACTTGATTGTTGAACATGACACTATATTTTGTTTAATTTGTTTGCACAATAGTATAAGTATTTTTTTTGTTTCTTTTATATTTCTTTTATATTCAGTCAGCTCTCTCTTTCTCTCTGAACAATTCATGTTATTTTTTATTATTAATTTTATTTTATTTTTATTTTATATTTATTTTATTTTACCGTGCGTTTTTATGTTCACGAAAATACTATAAACTGGAGATTCATCGATAGATATATATTTATCGTATATTATATTACGTATCGCGCTGCGCTTCCAATGCAGTCTGTAAAACGCGCTCGCGACAGAATCATGTGTGTGTGATAAAATTTATCTTGCGAGAAAAAAGATATCTGAAAAATAAAAAAATATTTATTCAGCGTGTGCTAATAATATATTAAGTCCAAATTTTTTTCTTTAATAGAATTTAACAGTTGCTTTCGTGAAACGCCAGTGATTTTAAGAAAATGTATATTTTCTCATTTGAAAAATATGTTATATTAATACAAGCAAATATGTAATTAGTGTGCCTACCGAATAAATACTTTTTATTTTTTAGATATCTCCTCTCGTAGGAAAGACATAGCTTTTCTAATCTAATATTTAGTCGTTCAATATGGCTCCACGTATATTTCGTTCGACGCATATCCACTTACACAATCGTGTCCAAGCTCGTTATTTCTAAACAGTTTAATTTCTCTGTCGATTATATTTTACCGTTTCTACATTCACGAAATTGCTACGAGCGAGATAACAGTGAGACGGTGACGCAAAATTCTTATCGCACATTTTCGACTTCCGCGGTAACTTGACCGTTGCGTGAATTAGCGCAAGTCAACCCGGTTTATCACATATGGCCATCGATACGTTTACATTCGTCAGCTAAATGGAACATGTGTTTATGCGTGGTTATTTACGTTTAATTGCAACGAATTACGCGAATTACCAAGCAATTACAGAGCTAGTTATAAAGTTACGGTCGTTTGCGATATTTGCAAATATATGGGGGTGTATTATATTCCAGAATTATTTTCCACGAAATATAACGACGCTCCACAATACAAACAATTAACGATGCACCGTTTACTTAAACGTATTTTTATGTGTGTAGGAAATTTGGACCGTTATAAAATTAAAATTGGAATTTATTATATATATATATAAAAATGACTTTTTATTATATATATATATATATATATATATATATATAATAAATTTAATATATATATTTACATAGATCTATTCATAGAACTTATTGCATAAGAATTTATTATATATATTATATATTAAAATTTAAATCTCGATATGGTCAAAAGTTCGATCGACGGATTCTTTATGTTCAGGCAGACTCGTCACTTTATTAAACGCGGTCCTATTGGTACACGTATCTCGCACATGCGCTCGCTCTCATCGCGTATTGGTCGATTTATGTATCTCACCGGAACAATAGAGATCCTCGAAGGCATCTGCGACCTTATTCTCGAAAAAATATCGCATACGATATTTTTATGAAAAGCTATATTTTATGTTACGTATACTATAGTTTTTCATCGAAATATCGTGATATTTTTCAAGAATACGGTTCTAAATCTCTCGAATTCGTGTGCGAGAACGTGTGCGAGTCCAACAATGTCGCACGTTTTGAAGCAAACAAAGAAAAATGGGCGCACCCAAGGGAGAGCAGAGAGTGTTTGTCTCCCCGTCCTCCTCCAAATTTCAGCAAGAAGAGGGACAAATTATCTTAACTTATTTATAAAATCACTTTTATGACGAAAAATTAAACGCTGATTGGCCAATACGTGATTCATACGTTATTCCCCAGCGCGTGTGTGAAGATAAATCTTGGCTCCTTCCCTCATTAAAATTCTGAATACGCCCATGCAAATAGATATTCAAACGATCTGCCTCTGAACGTTTTAGGCCGTCAAACGGACTGCTACATATGCAAAGTCTAATTAATGATCGTGTTTAACAAAATTACACTCCTAGTGAGTGAATAATAATTAATCGGATTAGCATATACATACCTTTGGATCTGATTGAAAAGAATGACAAAACACCTGAGGTATTCTTGTGTCATTCTAGTTAAGATTCAGGTGGTAAAATTTCAACGCAGTGCAGAAGTACGAACGTAACACCGCAAATAAGTCTCCGATTATGTCTTTTCCTCACCGACAATGAGAGAACGAGAACGCAAGGTTACTGTTTGTTTCTATCCATCCGCAACGGTAACAACACGCATTATAGTTAGCGTTGCGCATGTTGAAACGGAATCGTCCGTAACAAAGGAAGGCTTCACTATAGACCGCAAGGCCGCCTGTACCAGACTTTTTTCATATTCCTATACGAGATCTCCGAGCGAAGTTTTCCCCTCGTGCGAGGCTCCTTTGTACGAGGCTTCCTCTCCTTTCCTTTCCCCCAAAAATCATTCCTCGTGCAAAATCTCATACCAGGACTCCCACTTCGTTTCTCGAGCTCTAGCTTCTACCTGATTTAGCAGTTACGTAATCCACGTCCCCATCTGGCAGTTTAATCAATCACCTTATCTCTCCATTCAGTCGATTCTGCTGAACAGTTTCGAATTCGATTTCCGTAACATACGTCATCCGTGCAATCTTGAAGTTTAGCTTGCTTATCCTGGATATCAATAGATCTCAAGATTAAAGCTTTGTATAAATTTCAATGAAAATTAATATCGTGTTTGTCACAATTACAAATGTTATACATATATTTGCGAATTTATGATAAATCTATACGCGAAACGTTTTGCATTCTTCTACATTTGTTTGATCTATATCGTGATTTACTGTTAATTATTTATTAGTTCTCGAGACTAGCGTTATTGATTGCAGATAGCAGTACAAGTTTGGTGTGTGCGTATTCGGTAACGTGTGTGACGAATGACATATTGATGCAACTTATCGCTGAGTAAATGTTTAGTTATCGGCAATTCTTTGTGATTTATCAGGCGCGAACGTGCTGGTGGTCAGTTTAGCCAGCGTTTTGTTTATTCAATACATCTATCTTTCATTCATAGAGCGTGATACTTACCGCTCTGTGATCTCCGCAGAGATCTTGCCATTCTTAATATCAGTGAAATGTTCGTAAAAGAGAATACGTCTACATTTTTTTGATCGAGATATGTCGAAGGTCATCGAACATTTGTCTTCTGAAATTTTTCAGGATATTGCACGAATTTATTCTCATAAATGAGTCACGTGTCTTATCGACACGTTTACTCAGAGAAGCTGACAAGGACAGGCGTTGTTGACATCTGGGCATTATTTCGTGAAGCTCCGTATTTAGTTTGAATTTGCTTGAGCACATGGACACATGTGCTGCGAATTTATCACAAAATTAACATACGTTACTGCTTTTGACGGCTTGTTTCCAATTATTCTTATTGAAGACGTTCGATCAATGCTGTTTGATTATCTCTTAGCGTTCCTTATTTCGCAGATATTTTTTCAAGAATATATTTTTAAGCTGTCTGACATGCCGCATTCGAAGATTTGTATGCACCTGACGTTTTTTCTTACCTTTGCAAGGTAAGCTTTTTAATAAGCTAACGATATTGAAGATGAATTTTGTGGCAACAAATAAGTTAAGAACATGACTTTATACAATAATACGTGTAGTGGGAGAAAAAATTTTTTTAAATAAAAAATACTCGGCAGGTATTAATAATATATTTACTTATATTAATATAAGACACTTTTCAAATATAAAAATATACATTTTCTTAAAATCTCAACTTTTATGAAAGTAATTGTTTATTCTATTTTAATCAAAGAATTTATATTTTAGTAAATATATTATTAGTACTTATCAAGTAAATATTTTTCACTTTTTAAATACAGAATATTTTTTAAAAATGTTAACACTTATATGGAAGTAACTTTTTTTAGAGAAACAGAGTTGATTGTTTTGATTGAACAAATTTTCCATATAAGTGTTAACACTTTTTTAAATACTCTGTATGTGGAGAATTTGTTCAATCAGAACAAACAATTCTGTTTCTCTAAAAAAGTTACTTCCATATAAGTGTCAACATTTTTTTAAACATCCTGTATTTTTTCTCAATATAATACTATAGTTTCTATAATAGTATAGTTCATGTATAATTTATATATTATGAAATATTAGTAAAATTTCGCTATTTCTGGTTCCAGCAATCTAGCAACAATCATGCCAGTGCCGCAGATCCAGAAACCAGCTCCCGCTTTCAGCGGTACCGCTGTTGTAAACGGACAATTTAAAGACATTAAGCTGTCCGACTACAAGGGCAAATACGTCGTGTTGTTCTTCTATCCGCTGGACTTGTAAGCATGTCACCATACGCTGTCAGACTTAAGATAAAAATGTTGCAATTCTAAGCAAATATACGAGTAAATCGTAGCTTACGAAAAAAAATCGTATTTATAAGTTATCATATGACATACGGTCCGCATAGAATTGCAGATCTACTTGCAGATCTAATTTGCTAGATAAGTTCTTATGAGTCTTACGTGAACAAGTTACGAGTTTTACGATTTTGTCTAGAATTGCAGTAAAAGAAATGTATTACACAATTCCAAAGTATCGTATGAGAAATCTCATTGTACCTGTGTTGCGCACTTCGCATCGAGTGCAATTAACTCTCGCGCACGTAGAACAGTAACATATGCTTCGTGAATTCTAAAAGAGCCCGCATTTATGAGAACAATTGCGTTGAAATTGCAAACAAATCCAGGTCGAATTTTAATTATCATTTTGGTACTTGTAAAACGATATCATGATTTCGTAAAGACCTTCAAAGTGACCAAATAAAAAAACTGAACATGAGACAAAATTCGAAATTTTTGGAATCTTGATGAGTTCGCAAACATAATCTTCAGTTTTAAATACTTATTGAAACATTTTTTATCGACTGATATGAAAATTTATTTATTTGGCTGCGGACAAAGAAGAACGGTTTCTTATGTATGAGTAATGAAATACAATTATTGTTTCATTGCAGTACTTTCGTGTGCCCGACCGAAATCATCGCTTTCTCCGACCGTGTGAAAGAATTCAGCGACATCGGCTGCCAGGTGATCGCCGCGTCCACCGATTCTCACTTCTCTCATCTAGCATGGGTTAACACGCCCCGCAAACAGGGCGGTCTCGGTGAGATGAATATTCCTCTGTTGGCCGACAAAAGCTTCAAAATCTCCCGCGACTACGGCGTGCTCGACGAGGAAACGGGAATTCCTTTCCGCGGGCTGTTTATCATCGACCCTAAGCAGAACATACGTCAAGTCACCATCAACGATTTACCTGTGGGAAGGTAAAGATTTCACTCGCTCATAATTTGGAAGATTAGGAACTATTGTCGGTAGATTTGCGAAAGCCGGCTTGTATGCTAAAATTTAAGAGAACAGAAGTTGACACAAACAACTTTTTGTGCCGATATATAACTGCTAGCTACTGTCTATCGAGACTTAGAATCGAGTCTGGTGTTTTCATTTCAATGTATTAAATACGGGTCGTGTGAGTCCCTTGACTTGCGATAACAGTGAACGCGATCTTTGTATTTACAAACAACGTTAGTGTCACACGGTCACTTACTCAAGATATCGTATTAGTTAACGAATCAAAGACGCTTCTCTTCCGGCAGTGTTGGGCATCATCCAATCAAAATGTTAATTGACTAAAATAATCGACAAGTCAATCATCAAAATTAATAAGTCGTCATAGATAAAAACACAAATCACTTAATCGATGAACTTAAATTAATTATTAATGAAACTTCCATTTGATTGATTAATAATTTATTTCGTCAATCAATTAAGTTACCGTGACTACATATATAATTATTAATTTTCTGACTATTTTAATCAAATAAAATTGTAAACAATATTCAACGCTCTTCTGGATTGAGCAACTTTCGCTCTGCGTCTACATTATTATCGTGTATATTGATTTCAGATCCGTGGACGAAACTCTGCGTTTGGTCCAAGCATTCCAATATACGGATAAACACGGTGAGGTGTGCCCGGCTGGCTGGAAGCCCGGCAAGAAGACTATGAAGCCTGACGTGGATGGTTCAAAAGAGTATTTTAAGGATTTATAGACTATAAGATTTCGCACAAAAATGATGTTTGTTCGTACGTCCTATTAGATTACTCGTATTGTATATTTTGTATTCCTGTGCGTCACATAAACTTCCAATTCAACACAATCATTTACTTATGTATTTACTTAGCATAGCTAGAACACACATATCGCGCGAAATATGTATGACATGTAAGATGTTTGCTCTTAGTTGTCTTTTAATAAACAGGTTTATTTTGTAACTGTGCCTCTCTGACTCGTTCTAACCATTCCACGTAATGCAAAATTATATACTTGACGACGTAAAATTTTGACGTATAATTATCTATAAGTTCCAGCAGGACGAAGATAAATTTTATCTTCCATATCCTTAAAATAAGTATTATCTCTCCGCTGTCGTCGCTTATTATTCAAACCTGACTTATTTTAATGAAAATAAGTCTTGTCGAAGAAGTCGATCTCACTTACGAATATGTTACTTCCCTCGGCGCCGGCAAGAATAAAATGTCTGATCCGCTATCAAGTAGATAACTATTTCAAAGTTGTCAAATAGTACTACTAAAAATTAAAGGTGTGTTTTGCTTAGTCGTATCACGTCTTCTATATCTCGTGGAGTTCCGAGATGCGGTCGCAGTTACATTTGCTATTACCAAATTAATTTTTTACATTTTTTAACTGTAATATTATTCCGATTTTAATGAAACTCGGGGGAAAGTATCTATGTTCTAAAAGAACTATTTCGCGATTTTATATATGTTCTACTTAAAATAAATACTAGAAAAAAGCACATGAACAACATACTCTTGGGGTCATCGAAATCTCCTCTACATAATCTAGCTTTAGAATACAATGCATTTCAACAACAAATCGAAGACTTTGAATCAACTTTATATTTTGTGTTACTATCTTAGACAACATAATATCTAAACATATGACATCTTAAAGATGATCTTTAAGATGCCTTAAAGACATTTATATGTAAATCGTCTAAAAAACATCTTAAAAATGATCTCTAAGATGTCTTATGTCCCGATTTTAGACATTATGTTCTCTGGGTATGTGACAATGTCAATATGTAAGAAAATGATAAGTAAATAAATATATGGGGTAATACATATATTGGGCAATGTAAACAAGATCAATTTTTACCGAAGCTACAATGTACTGAAGTTTGATAGGAATGTCAACTTTCACTTTGTCGCATTTTGATATCAATTAATTATTAGTATCTTTTATAATTGTTATAATTGATAATAATTTAGCCTAAAGATTCTTTTTTCGCCCACGTTATGCTGTGCAACCGAATTGCGATCAAGCTTGATTTTGCATTTTTCGTTTTCGATTAAATAATTGATTGACATTTCGACTGATAACTATAACCAATTCACTGACGAGTTGTCCGTATATATTTGCGAAGTCAAATTGTTATATTATTCTTCCAAGTGGCATGAGTAATGAGTACGAAGCCGCAATAGCGGAAGCAGGTAAGGACATTGAATAAACATAATTATCTTAAGCAAAATAACTTATATCTCACGAAAGTTTATATGATCGTGGTTATGATATTTTCTAAGTAGTGTGTGACATGTGTGTGAGAAGATATCATATATTACATTAACACAATATCATAATTATCTTATTTTTCATTTTGGAGTTTAAGTTTCTTTTCGAATGTATTAGAAAAATCGTGTACGTATGATTGCGTATCTTATTTAATGGACGAAAATCCTTTCAATTCACACAGGATGGGGTATTTATCATTACTTCCTTATCGTCCTATCTGGTTTGCTGTCACTAGCAGAAGCAACCACTTCCTTGACCGTTCCCATCGTGGCATCGTTTTTAGTATGTGATTTCAAGCTCAACAAGGATCAAGCTTCCATGCCCGTCGCTACTTCCAGTTTCGGTATATGTTTATACCAAAACGTAGTTTTAATGCTAAATTATCGAAATATCAAGTTATTCTACATCAAAGTATAATTCAAGTAAATTATATTAATAATATTATTACTTGATTGATTTTTTTTTCAACGTACAGAGAAAAAATATCTCAAAAGATATATTGTTACAATGTTTCACTTTTACGTGAAAATTAAATGTATTTTTTATAATAGTGTGCATTATAAAAGACAGCTCACATACACGCAACATTAGAAGTTGAATTAATTTGTATATTTTAATAACATTTATCGCATAGGCATGGCAGCAGGCGCATTCCTGTTCGGATCTATATCAGACACTGCTGGTCGTAAAAAATCGATTGCGGTTTCCACGAGCATTATATTCTGCGCCTCAGCCAGCCTGTCCTTCGCGCAAACTAATTTTCTAATAAACCTATCCGTATTCATATTGGGATTAGGGTGAGATTTCATTTCTTTATGATGCATACGGCTAAAAACAATCGAAATAGTCCGATAAATTTCATTATGATAAACTAATTTGATAACAATGCTAAATGCTTTATAAGATATTTCCTTTAACTTTTCTTTAGTGTATTTAATGTATTACAGATGCTTGCTTATCACATAGTCGCCTTTTTTTAAAAGCCAATGTTTCTGTTTACAATTTGTTTACGTCATATGAGAAAACGAGAATTTCGCGGAAACCGCGTTAAGTGTAACGTTTATTATTACGCGCACATTAAAAATAAGCGTTCACCTAATTTGTAATTGCATGATTAATAATTATATCACACATAAGTTTTCGTATATTGGTGTAGAGTGGCCGGCAATAACACTGTTCTGAGAGTGTATCTGATCGAGTGTCTGTCGATGAGAAAGAGAGGAACTTGTTTAGCAGTGATCGATACATTATGGGTGATCGGCTACTTAACAGCTTTAGGTAACAAGATGAATTACGTGAAAATTTTTTAATCAATATCAAACGTAATATCATATTATTCGATCATTGACAATAACGTGATATACTATTTTCTTGAACATTTTTTTATTGAAGGAACGATCCAATTAACATGATAAATTACATTTAAGAATTGTTTCTTTTGGCCAGTTTACTCAAAAGAACAACTCTGAGAATTGTCGCGTTTCTGTAATTCAGTTTTGATGTATAATTTCGATTAAATTTTACAAACAATTCATACTTTTATATAAATTTTTCTTATAGATTTCTTCTCTGTAAATCTGTGGAATATTTCTGTAGATAGTCTTATATGCGCTGAGAGAAAGAATATCTAAAAAAATAATAAATATTATATTTATTTTTTTTCATATAGGACTTTAGTAAATATAACTTTCTCTGATATAAACGATGCCATATAGTCTAAATGAAGAGAAACTTGATATTTTGGCAAGGAAACATTTACACGTGTTTGGTATGACTTGAGGTGTTTCCTGGTCCTTGATGCCCTCCGCGATACGCATGATGGGCAAGCAGTTCCGACCGAGTTCCTGGCGGGTCCTCGTCATTCTCTACGGCGTGCCGAGTCTGGTGATCGCCTGCGCCTCAGGGCTTCTACCTTCGAGTCCTCGGTACTCGCTGTACCGTCGGAAGCCGAGACAAGCGCTCGCAGTGCTGCGACAGATGTACGCCATCAATAATTCGAAACACGCCGATACCTACCCGGTACGGCGACCCGTTCTTCACTCCATTGAAGAACTTGTTACTTCCTGTTACTTCCTCGTCCATTCAATCTTCATCTGCTATCTGCGGACAAGGATGAGGAAACTAATCGACTAGACTAGCGCGACTGTCGTCCAGCAAGAAGACATTCGTCAAGCTAGATAAAGAATGAATATATTAACTGTTAATTTTTTTCCTAGGCGGGGACACATATGTTGATTGATTTTTTTACCGGCACATTTATGTGATTTATTCCGTGACGATTTCTTCACTGTTTGAGAATTCCTGACTATTTAGCCTAGAAATTTAGAAAACTGCGTACGTCCGGACGAGGGAACTAATCAGGACAGTGACGATTTCGTGGATAGACTTCAAGGATACTTCACGAAAACTTGGAAACGAATCTGTCGAATACACAAGTCTCCATATAAGCGAACGACATTGTGTGGAGTATTGGCGTGTCTTTTGCACTTTCCTGGGTAACAAGAAGAAAAATGTTTTTTTAATCTCTTTCATTTTTTAATATAAATCTTTTTCCCCAAATCGAAGATTGTTTCTGAATCTTTCACTTCTTGTTGACTTTTTATAAATGTTGAGGCTTTCCCGAAATCTCCTCAGCTAGATTTATACTCATTTTCACTTTCTGTTTCATCACTGAGTTCATAATCGTCAAAAGATCTAGAAGAAAAATCAGATATATGTTCAGCAATGCACTCCAGCTCCTTCTGGCTTAAAATTCTTCTCTTCATTTTATGAATCAATACTGAAATAAAAATATGTTCATCAACCCTTATAGAAATATCATACTAAGAATCATTGATAATTACTTATTTTCAGTATTAAAAATACTGGATAATAAGTAATTATCAATGATCCTTAGTATGATATTTCTATAAGGGAACAGAGCTATTGATCACAAAAACGATGTTTAAGATTCGCTTGGCTCGCCCTGTGGAATACACACGTGCTCCAGGAACTGGAAAAGAACACTGTCGATGAAAACGGCACGTGCAACGTGAGCTTCCAGAACGTGGTATTAGGTTTTTTGCAAAACTGCGATCAGATGAACGAGGATCGTTTCTACCTGCTATTGCTGGTATCGCTGGGCTACGTGTTAGGAGAGTTGTTGCTTATTATCGGGATCGACGTCGTCGGCAGAAAACCGTATCTAAGTAAGCGTAGCTAAGTAAGCAATAAATGATCGTGATACTACATCGAAAAAAAAGTATTTGAAAATTTATTTGTGGGATAAAAGTTTATTTCGTAGAAATAAATTTTATATCCTACAAATAAATTTTTACGTATTTTCTTCTCAGTGTATTACGATTCTTAAAAGTCTCTCAAAACTTCATAATTTGTACGTGAAACATTTTTTTTCTAACGCAACAATCGATTTAGAATCGTAACTCTTTTTCTTAATCTTAACATTATACGGTTTTTCAATCTTAATATTGCACGGTTTAAAATATTGTTTATTGTTAGTATTATTACTACACTGACATGCGCACGCACACATACATATTGTAGTATTTATTTTAATAATCTCAATAAAATCATGATAATAATATTATATGTGCAATTTAAAATATTATATAACATATTAATATTACTAGATATTACTACACACGCTGCATATACCCTATTTTAATTCGATATCCATCTTAATAATGTTTTTCTTAATAATAATTTTATATCTTTAATATCTATCTTAATAAAAAACCTTAATAAAAATCTACTGCTATATGTAATAATAAATTTTTTTAATTACTTTTTCTTTTCTTCCCAGTAAACAACATACACTGCGAGTATCAATAACATGAAATCGATGTTATGAATGTCCTACGCAACAATGTAACTATTACATAACACTGTGAGACATTATAACATTGATGTTATGTTATTGATGGTTGGTGTGTTTACTAAGTTCTAACCAATAAAGTTATTATTACTCTCTTAAAATGAATCAGCCAAACATCACTGAAAAAAGTGAATATATACTGATTGCAGTTATAAGTACCAGGTCTGTAAATATGAAACCAGAATTTGCCCATAGATGGCCCTAGCTGTCAATGTAGTTACCGTCAAACCGCGTCATTGGCGCCATTTCCTTGTTGACATCTCTGACAAAGATTTTCAACTTACAACAATACAAGTTTCATACAATAGCATAGTTTGTAATAGCGTTGAACATGTCGAATTTTGTGCCTGGAAACTACGATTTGCGGACAGCATTGATTTTCTGTTACCATTTGAAGAAAACTGCTGCAGAATCGCATCGAATGCTTGTCGAAGCTTACGGTGAGCATGCTCTTGGTAAATCACAATGCTTTGAGTGATTTAAAAAATTCAAAAGTGGCGATTTTGACGTGAGAAACGAAGAACGTGGAAGACCACCGAAAAAGTTTGAAGACAGCGAATTGCAAGCATTGTTGGATGAGGATGACACTCAAACGCAATAACAACTCGCGGATCAATTAAATGTGACACGAGAAGCCGTCTCCATACGTTTGAAAGCCATGGGAAAGATCCAGAAGATGGGAAAATGGGTTCCACATGAACTGAATGAAAGACAGCAGGAAAACCGAAAAACCACTTGCGAAATGCTGCTCGCCAGGTACAAAAGAAAGTCATTTCTCCATCGAATTGTGACTGGCGATGAAAAGTGGATATATTTTGAGAATCCTAAGCGTAAAAGATCATGGGTAACTCCAGGCGAACCATCGACATCGACTGCAAGGCCAAATCGCTATGGACGGAAGACAATGCTCTGTGTTTGGTGGGATCAGAAGGGTGTGATCTATTATGAGCTGCTAAAACCTGGCCAAACCGTTAATACTGAACGCTACCGACAACAAATGATCGATTTGAATCAAGCTTTGCGTGAAAAACGACCAGAATATAAAAAAAGGCAACACAAAGTGATTTTGCTTCATGATAATGCACCATCACACATATCAAAACTGGTCAAGGAAACGATTGAGGCGTTTAGTTGCGAAATACTTTCGCATGCGGCTTACTCACCAGACTTGGCTCCGTCCGATTACTATTTATTTGCATCAATGGGACACGCACTTGCTAAGCAACGCTTCACTTCTTACGAAAATGTACGAAAATGGCTCGATGACTGGTTTGCCTCAAAAGAGCAACAGTTTTTTTGGCGTGGCATCTACAAATTGTCAGACAGGTGGGAAAAATGTATAGCTAGCGATGGGCAATATTTCGAATAAAATATTTTTTATCATTTTCATACAATAAACATGTATTTTCTATACAAAAATTCATATTCATATTCAAATTCGGTTTCATATTTACATACCTGATATAGCATTGAAAGTGCTCAATGCTATACTCATAACTGATATCAGTGACTATTCACTGATTCACTTTAAGAGAGTACCGTTCTCATTATTATTTGGAACCACGATTATCTTGATATTCGCGCGGAACTTTTTTTTCAACTGCTTCCAGTATCTTCTGGAATAGTAGGCGGCGTGGCCACGCTCGCGCTTATTTTCCGAATGCACCACGCACCTCGCGTAGTCCTCTCGTCGGTTTTCCTGGCCGCTTACGCGATCGGACGCACGACGACGTGCGTTTCGCTGATGGAGAATTATCCGACCGCTCTGAGGTAGGTCGTGTGATGAAGCCAAATGCGTTCCACGCGTCTGGTTGATCTCACAAGGAGAGGAACAGAACCTTTTACTGATTTTGATCGACTTGAATTAATGATCTTCTTGTTTTATATCTTAGTAAACATTATCAATAATAATCTAATGTAAAATGACTTTAAATTTATCGTTTAAGCGATGCGGACGCAAGATATGAAATCCGGTGGTTTCTGGTACGTTTCAGAGGCACGACGATGGGCCTGACAAAAATACTTCCACATTTGGCAGTCTCGGCGACGCTGCACCTCCCGACGACGACTTGCTCGCTAACATTGATCGTCGCGTCCGTTTCTCTGATGGGTACGAGAAAGTGATTGTTATCCGCTCGATTCGCTCTTACTGAGTACTGAACATGTCGCAGGTGCAGCCTTTGTGATGCTACCGGTGCTCGATTTAACCAGGTTACCGATGAAGGAGTAACACACGCTTCCGGACATGTGCTTCCGGTCGGTATAAGTATACGCACATGTATCTATAATGATTCACTTTATGCGGACGGCAACATCGCTGTACCTTGCTCAAATAAAATTCTGATCTGGCGCAACGTCTCTTTCGTCACGCAAACTTCCACCGAAACTGACAACTTGCCATATTACACCCCCTATTAAATATCTCGTTGATCATGTGTTTAATTGAAATCTAATTAACACGAAACCAACGTATATTTCCAAGTACCAATTTAATTCTTAAACTACAAAGGATGGGATCAAGAGTGGCCTCATTCAGTATATATTTTTCAATGCAATTCATTGAAACTGTGATATGTTTGTGCCAATGTCAGATACTACATTGAAACTATTCTTATGCAATAAAAAAATGTGTTCTTGTTAGGTCGCCGTTTATTTATCCTGATACAAATTTTAATACGTAGTAAAGAACTTTTACGTGTACTTAAAGAAAATATAAAATTGCAAAAGATGTTTTCTTAATCTTTTGAAGCTAAACGACCTTTACTTTTCGGATTACTCGTATTTTCCCGCGGGTATACCTAAGTTGCGACGTCGATGCCTCACACGGTATCGCCTCGCGCCGTAATCATTCCGCGCCGCTTATAAATAAGGGCCGAACGGACGCGTCTTCCCGCCGCCGTCTATTTTCGACGGGAACAGGAAGAACCCTCGCTCGTACTCGCGCAGACTCTCGCGGCTGGCGGCGGCGGCGGCGTCGCGACGCCTTTGCAACTCGCGCGTACTCACGTACACACGCGCACATAGACGGACGCCCTCTCGCGCACACACGCGGCTCGCATCCGTCGTAAATACGAACGGCAAATGCTCGTCACCGAAAATAATCGGGCGCTATCGCCGAAGTCGCGAGACGCGCCGCGAGTCCGACGAGCTTCTCGAAGAGGCGACCTCACGGGGTCGCATGGGCGGATTCTCGTCGCTTCTCGGAGGCTAGAGCGATCGAGAGTGCTGTCGCGTTTCGAACACGAGAAAGATTTTGCAAACGGCGATCGCGCGTGTGCGGAAATAAACAGAATCTTTCCGAAAGATCGCGATTCGCGTGGATGTAGGCGCAACCAAAAGACGAAGACTTCTAGTTCTGTGTAGCGCTGATGTGCGCGTGTGTGTGAATAAACGTAGTAAAAAGTAACAAGTTCGCAGCATGTATTGCTTAATAAGTGAACTTTTGCAATTAGTAAAAAAGACGGACACGGTTGGGCTACGTGTCACTCGCTCCTCCGCATATAAGTAAAACGAGGTGGGGGAAATTTGGGCGGACCACAACAAAGGAGTCATGCCTTGCGAAACGAAGATGGTCCTGACTTGCGTAAGCCAGTCGACAGTCAGTTCGACGCTGTTGCAATAAATATTTGGACGATTGAAAAGTCTCCAGTGGGTTTCAACGTAATTCAAAGAACTGAGGAAGGAAGTGACGAACGAAATCCAAGAGGGAAATTAATTTTGCGCTTTTCCGATTCTCGTGGTGAAGAGCGAAAACGGATCAGAGGGACACACGCTGATGCGTTCGAGCGCATTCTTCATAATATTTACACGATTGGATGTTTATGAGAGGAATCAACACTCCACTTGTACGGTCAATTTATAGAACGTTGCATTTGCGTTTACTGACGCGCGTAGAAACGGATTCACGAGCGGTTATGGAACGGAGATATTCCGAGTGGGATACTCTCAAACGCGTTCGTGCGTAATGCGCGGCGCAAAAAGATATGTGGCAAGAATTTGCCGAGCGAAGAAGCTCACGGCTTAATACGCGATCTTAATGTACGTCGTAGACGAATTGGTAAACGAAAACAATGGTGATCTGACGGGAACATCGTCAATATAGAAATTTCGTTTACGATTCTGTGAACATCCCTCTCGAAGAGAACATAGTGAAGGCAGGAGGAAGAAAATATATCCAAATCTCGGGGATTCTCGCCGGAATCCGAATTATCCGAATTTTATGAGTGCAGAATGCTATATGTCGTAAGCAAATCGGTAAACAAAGACATCTGACAAAACAAGAACACTGTCAATATCGAAATCTCTTTTACGATTCTTTGAGCATCCCTTTCTTCTCCCCCAAAACATCAAAGTCAGGGGGATGAAAATATTCAAATCCTGAAAATTCTTTCTAAAATTCCAATTTTACATAGATAAATCGGCAAACAAAGATAGTAATTATCTGACAACACAGGAAGATTGTCAATATCAAAATTTCGCTTCTGGTTCTTTGACTCTCTCCTTAAGTAACACATTAATTATTCAACTCTCCAGAGGTTCTCTCCAGAATCCGAGTTTTAAATATTGTAGACAAGTTGATGAACAAATACATCTAACAACACGAGAACATTGTCAATTTTCAAAGTTCAGCTCATGGTTCTTTGACCATTCCCTCAAGTAACAAACCAGAAACGGGAAGAAAGTAACTATTCAACTCTCAGAGATTCCCTCCAGAATCTGAGTTTTAAACACCTTAGATAAATTGGTAAACAAAAACAGTGGTCATCTGACAACACGAGGACATTTTTAATATCGACATTTCATCCATGATCCTTTGACTATTGCTCTCAAGTAATAAAGTGCAAGAAAAGTAACTATCCAAACTCTTAAAATTCTTCAGAATCCGACTTTTATACGTTATAAACATATCAATAAACAAAGACAGTGATTAACTAACAAATCTTCAATATCGAAGTTCCATTCATTGCTCTTTTTGATCATCCCCTTCAAGTGTAAATCCCTCAACAAAGTTGAGGGATCCCTTAAAAGACGGGAGAAAAAATACTATTCAACTTCCAGAGATTCTCTTCAGAATCCGAGTGTTATCAGTATCGTACCAAGTATTGCAGCATCACCTCGGAACCCACATAAAAAAGATGACACCACAAGGTCTCCGTCCTCTGTTAAATATTAGTCGCTAAATCTTGAAGAACGTTTAAATTCCACGTCGCACGCCCAACTATAAGATCCAATGGCGGAGGATAACACACACCAAGTCGAGGAACACAGCGTGTTCGACGTCGAGAGGAAGCTCGACAGATCGAGTGGCTGTCGTCCACGAGACCAACGCGCTCTCAGAGTCAAGGACAAGCTCGAAGAGGGTCGACTTCCGACCCCGCCGCCTCTGCCGGACGCACAATGCCCGCGGTTCGCTCGGGATCGCGGGATGCCCGGGTCTCGGGCCACCGGCCGGCCGGACGAAGAGGAAGAAGAGGAGGACCTGGTGGCTTACCTCAGCGAGCTGGGTGCGTCTCCAGTCGAGGGTCACTCGTTCGACTACGACACGCCGAACTCGGCGACTTCGGCGATGGGCGTCGCGGCTGGTCCCTTCGCCGAGGAGGCCTTCGAGCACTTGGACCGGCTGTGCGCGTTGACAGAGCAGATCCTGGAGCTGCGTGACCGCAGTTCCAAGCAGTTCCGGCGCGTGCGAGGGCTGGAGCGCGTCAAGGCGCTCAGGAATGCCGATCGCCGGCTGGAGACGGCCTTGGCGAACGACGAAGAGCTGCTCGGCGACTTCCCAGACGAGGACACCGGCTTCGCCGAGTCGTTGTTGGACGCGATGTTGTCCAATTGCCGCGACCCGCCGGCGCAGAGGAGGAACGAGCGTTCCAGTGTGCGCTCGCCGTCGTCGAGACAACGGAGCCGGTCGCTCGCCCTCGCCGAGCAAACCCTGACCGGCACGTCCAACGTGCCCGTCGATCGCGCCGATGCGGATAAGAGGACTGTGAGGAACGCGGTCCGCAATGGCGGCCCCAAGGTCAGCAAGTGGACCAGAGTGAAGGCGGCCTTCAAATGGGAACGTGCCTGTACCAACGATCTCGCGGAGATCGCGGAATCAAGCACTGCGACTCCGACGACACCCACGACGAGGTATCTGAGGATCCCGGATGTCACTGCCGGCAGCTGGAGCGGATCAGCTTTGTCGGCCTGCACCAGCGAGCTCTCGAGCCCATCCACGCCGATCGGCAGAGTATCTCCTACGTCGTCGTCCAACGAGGAGGTTTTCGACGGTAAGGACATGTCTCTTGGTTTATATCCTCTTTTTACAGGAATCAGTGTTGAAGATTAATCGATTAATTGAAACTTTTTTTGACTAAAATGATCGACAAGTCAGTGATCAAAGCATCAATCAATTATTATGTATGTCTAAAATACAACTTTAGGAGCAGATTAACATCTTGGCTATGTTGTATGCTTGCAGAACCGCGGAAAAATATCATAAACTATCCGGATCGACAATCGCCACAAGCGAAAGATGATAGGAAGAAAGACGATCCAGATCGACACAGTAGATTATTCGATCGCGACACCTCCATCGCGGAGAACGTTGATTCCATAGAACTTCCCAATGAGGTAACTTCTCTTTTATATCAAAATAAAGTAGAGAATAGAATCGAATTGAACTCACAAAACCAATCAGAACATTGATTTAGGATCGTGTGTACACTCGAGTACACCAAAATCTCTCAGTGTAGAGAGTTTTGATAGTGCGTAGATGAGACTCGGTCTCAGACACCATGTTATAAAAGAATGGAATGAGGAAGTAATTCTGTTTACAAAGAATCTTCTGATGGCATCCGAATCTGTGTAGTTTCATTTATTTACGGATGAAGAGAGTGGGAGAGAATCTGACGCCGCGCTCATTTACACCTCATTAAAACTCCCTAAAAATAAAAATTTTTATGATCTCCAATCTTTTATGAATTTTCCAAATGTTAAAAATATTTTTCTCAGATATAATACATCTCTACTATTACGTCAACACCAAAAGAGCGCTCTTTTAGTTTAGCATAGCAAATAGTCTCTCAAAACAGTTTATCAGATGAAACATCCAACAAACTTTTACTTTTGATAAACAAAAATTTAAAACAAAGTTGTGAGTACTGTTTTAATATCCTTTTTACGATTTGCGTAACTTTTAAAAATCTTTATGAATAGTCTTATCTAAGACAGTTATTTAAAAAATCATCTGGAAAAATTTGCATTGATCATCTCATCTTTTATTTAGTTGAATCAGAAGCAAAATCATCTTCATTTCATTTAAGATCATTTTACGGATTTTCATTTTATCTTCATTTAGATGATTTTGAAATCATCTAAGGAGCAAACAAAATATGCGTACATGTATCAAAAATAACAATTTTCTGTAGAAATTTTTCTTTCTCTAAAAAAAATATAATTGCACGATTCATTGTATAAATTTATTCGGATATTTTCTCTCATTGATAATGCGATGTTATAATTCATCTCCTTCGCATATAGAGATCAATAAAACACTGTAATTCATGCTTTCCGAAATAATATCGGCCCGCTTGGTAGTTTACTGTCGTCCTCGATGGTAGGCCATCGGTAGGCGGCGGTTTGCGTTATAACGGCGTTGATAAAAGCGCTCCGCGAAATTCCTCTTCCACGACACGGCGGGTGTACAAGTGCCGACTTAAAAATATCCACCGCGGCGAGGCGCGTGCCGCGCACGACCGCGCCCGTTGAATTTCTTTGATCAATGCATGGCGAGCGTGGCCATTAACGGCTGCTGCTCCATTCCGAGCATTCGAGTCGTACGAAAGAAATAAAAAAAAAAGACAAGAGAGAAGGAAGTTAAAACACTTGTTTCCCCCTGAATGACAGGCCAGTCGCAAACCACTGATCCGCATTATATCCGATGCGGACTCAAAGATGCGTGTCGCGAACGGGAAGGACTCAGAAGTGCCGTCGAAAAGACCGACGCCGACCCTGACGATCACGATACCGTCGAACGAGGAGGAGATCAGAAGCTTGTCCTCTCCCGAGTCGATGTCACCTTTGCCCTCGAGCGCGCAGGATTCCGGCGGAAGTTCGCCTCAACGTCCCAAAACGCGTCAGGATATTCTGAGCTCGCGGGAGTTTAAGCGGCAGGTTGGCATAATTGTCTCGAGAAGCGAGCTAAAGCTTATTGCGAATTTATTTGTGAGGGAAATTCGAGATAGATAAAGAGCAAATATTCCAAATTCTTCGCTGAGGTGCTTTCATTTGCGACATTCGACTTCTGGTTTCACTCGAATATGAAAAATGTCACATCCTTGTCCCAGTACTCGACAATCGAGGAAGCGATTGCGCCGGCACCGAAGATACAGAGGCAAGATTCGAAATGGAACAAGGTCAGGCGTGCTTTTCTGACAAACGCCACCTTCAGCGTTCCCCCGAGCCCGGTTAGAGCGGTCGCCGCGCAATCGTTCGCAAACGATGGTGAGTTTGTTTGAGTGTATCGTTAGCCTTGCATATATTTCGTTGAGAGAGTAAGAATCTTATTAATGCGTAACAAAAAATTGTAGAGACCTGAACATTTTGTCATGTTAACCGCAAGAAGATACACGAAGAGAATATAGTTCTTTTTTCCTTCTTCATACAAATACTTTTCAATTTTATTTATACGTTCATAGTAGTGCAGGTGTAGACCAGTAAAGTCTGTTTTGCTAAGAAACATAGTAGATTTTTTATTAGAAATATAAAACACTCTTTAATAAAATAATTTAGCTCCTGAAATATAAGTTGCGCTTAAAATGAAAAGATAATCAATTACTGCCGAATGTCAATCTAATTCTCGGTTGCAAAATTTTTTACAGTAATTTTTATTATAACATTCTCTCCATGTAGAAAAAGTAAAGTTTTTATATTTTTATATTAAAAATTATATCTACTTTATACTTTTTTTTTTTAATTGCTTTCATACAAAATTATAAAATATGCATTCTAT